AGGGAAAGTGAGGTTGACGTGCCCGCGGCAGAGTTAGACGGTTCTGGTCACTGCACTCTCAGGAAGCTGGTGGGAAACCAGGAGGGGAGCCCTGCCGTAGGGGGTTGTGGTTTCAGCCCCGTTCCACTCTGCCCACGTCACGCCAGGATGGAAGGCTGGGAATGTCCTTGTCCTTCGTGTTTTCCTAGGATGGACTGTCGCACTGTGGAATGGTATTTAGAATTAGGACTTCGGAGAGGAAGGGGTAGGCTTGGTAGGTGCCAGCCCTAGAATCAGCCTGTTAAATGATGATTCCTATCCCCACCCCATATCACATCATCAGCCATTTAGAACAGATTTAAAATACAGTCAGTTCAGTGGCTTACGGTATCTGCATGATTCCACATTTTGTATTTTGTCCCTGAATTTATGGAGAGCTCTATGTGGTTATTTGTATTTAAGCCGATAGTGGTGTTTTCTATTATTTGTTGTGACACATGTGAGATACACTCAGCCCTTTTCCAGAGCTCCTTGCCCCCTTTTTATTTTGTTCTTGCCTTTTTATTAGAGAAAAATCTGGGTGATGAAGTAAGTACCAGATTGCAGGCAGTTAAATATGGGGATTTGAATCCTGAGGCACGTCTCAGTGATGTGAAGGGAAAAGTAAAATTGTGAGTAGAGATTGTTAGCGATGGTCAAAATAGAGTGCCAGATGAATATAGCCACTGGCAGGGGTTTAAGGTTAAGGAATTAAGAGCCTTGTGCTTGATAACGCTGCGCCACGTTCGGATTAGAGGTCTGCTCAGTTACCGCCTTAAACCTTTACTTCCGATGCTTCATAAAATTATAGGAATGGCTCTGTGTGTGAAGCTTATCCAAACTTTGGGCCTATAATATAACCCTAAAAGAAAGACAGGGGCAAAAAGAAACTGTGAAAGGTGTTTGGCAGTGAGCAAGAGTGGGAGCTCACCAACGCTTTGAAGGTCAATTAGCCAGAAAATGTGCTAAAGGCTGGGTGCGGTGCCGCGTTACTGGCCGAGAATTACCCCCAAGGTCCTCAAAGTGGTCCTGCCAGAGAGACAATTACAGACCTGGAGGAGATGCTACAAAAGCTTTAATTAAGGGACTTACTTACACCCCACTAGGTTTTGGAAATTAAATTCTTGCTTGTGCTTAACTGAGGTTTCTTTTGTCTGGGCTTCCACGTGGATTTCAGCAGAGAGCACTGTTTTCCCCTGGGTCTGCTTTCCGTTGGAAGCCGCTTCACTGTGATGGATACCAGCAAAGCCGAGAGTTTAATCCTTGCAGGGAACCGGGTGGAAAAGTGAGCCGAGGAGCTTTCTGCCAGGGAGCGTTTTGGGCACAGGTTGAAAATTGTCGTGTTTAGACACACCTTAGTACCCCCGGAAACCAGGGCCTCTCTTTGGGCTTAGACACGTGAAGAAGGGTAATAAGTACATGTATTTTGTAGAATTTCAATTTTAGAATTCCCATTCACAGGGCACCATGACTTTCCTTGAATTGGCAGCTTTATGTCTCTAGACCCACCCAGCAGGCCGCTCTTTCTCCAGAAACATGTGTTTGTTTTGTGTCGAGGAGGTTAGAGTAGCCTCTGTCATCCAGGCCTGGTTGTTCACAAGCCCAGACCCGTGGTGAGGCTGCAGTCAGATGTGACTTCTCCTAGAAGGACTGATTTAAGTTGCATCCAGTCCCAGGCAGTGCGTTACGATGCATCGATCTGCCCGTGTTCCTGAGCTCAGCCATCCTGCGATCGATGGGAGACGTTGTCATCTTCGAACTCGGGCCTAATGGCTCCTTTACTCCAGTCTGTTCCCTTTGTTTCCATAGTGAAGCAATTCTCTTATTTCTTGTCTCTCTTCCTTGGAGTGATTTATTTCTGCCTGCAAAGTTTGGTTTGAGCCATAACGTTTTAAAAAGCACTAAGAAATGCTTGTGTTCTAATAATTTTAAATTTTCTTTCAGTATTTCTAGTCTACACCCATCATCAGTCAGGAGGTCCATTTTTTAGGTCCTCTCCGTACCCTTTGAAGTCCCTTTGTGTGCCTGTCAACCTGTGTGTGTGAAGACCAAAACTTCCTCCTTGCTCTAACTGAACAGAAGAGTCAATAAAATCAGAAGTACTGGGGCCCCTGGGTGGCTCAGTCAGTTAAGCGTCCGACTTTGGCTCAGGTCATGATGTCATAGCTCATGAGTTCGAGCCCCGCGTCGGGCTCTGTGCAGCCAGCTCAGAGCCTGGAGCCTGCTTTGGATTCTCTGTCTCTGTCTCTCTCTGTCTCTGTCTCTCTCTCTCACAGAAATAAGTAAACATTAAAAAAAAAAAAAAAAAAAGTAGTACTTATCATCATCTGACCTTGTCAGGAAAGAGAAATTGCCAAAAAAAAAAAAAACAATCGTGGTGTCACGGGTTAAAGGGTGCAGTTTTCAGCAAAGTGAAGTTTCTGAAGAACTCCGTTACCGAACTTCCCTCTTCCGTGCGGTGGGTAGAGGAGGGCTCCCCCTGGTCCAGGCGTCCGAGGCCCCCTTGGTGTGGCGGCTGCTCTACAGCGGGGTCCTCTGACCCCGGCCAGGTTAGCTTGTGGTGATGACTCGGACGGACCTGTGTGCTGGCCTGAGAGCTTTGGCATTTACGTTATTTAGAGCACTCTCCTACTCGAATAGATCTTAAATAATGAATGCATCATAGTGAATTTCAGTTTTCTTTGGAAAGAGGGAAATTGTATTTCATGATAGGAACATTTTTGTTTGACCGAGTACCTGACTGGTTAACAAGCTAAAGCCAAATGTGGTCGGAACTTCTGGAGAAACGGGCAGATGGCATGAGCACGCTTGCTCACTGAAGAAGAATGTAACTGAATTTTGCTAAAAAGTGCTGATTCCAAAGGTTCTTTTATGAAGTAAAAATTCTGAGTTCTTATCTCTTCAGCTTTATTTTGCTAACATTGTTAGAACTAGTACATCTGGCTTAGATTCTAAAATAGTCTGGTTTTATGCTTCAGTTAAAATGAATCCAATCAAATTGGAATTTGAAGATAGATAAAAAGGATTTTGATACACAGGGAGGATTCTTAAAACAGAGCAGGGTTAGCAGGGAAGGTCTTAAGCCTCCTTTCTTTCTGGATGGCCTTTAGAAACAGGCCGCTGGTGGTTTCAGTTAGTGTAGGGCATTCAGCCGTAGTTGTGTGTGTGTGTGTAAAGGGGTGACGGACGGTGGAGCGAGTGGCCTCCTCAGCGGTCCTTCCGGTGTCCGACTCTTGGTTACACCACTTACCGTCAACACTTAGACAAGCTCCACGCTTTGTCGTCTGAAGATTTCTTTTATGAGGGTGGGGGTGGGGTTAGTTTTGTAAATGGGGTTCAAGTGTGCCGTCTTTATCAGATTTAGTGATATCTCTCTCACTTCATCCGTTCGGTTTGCTTTCTGTGTTGACTCCCCCCTCTGTCCAAGCGTGGATGCATGTGCACAGCCACATACAAACTCCAGATGCAGTCCAGTGAAATTTTCTAATAAGACATCGGAACAAAATTGTTTAGGGGGAGGTGAGGAACAGACCATTTTGTATTTCAGCCCAGGGTGCTCTGAGAGTTAAGAGTGACAATTAAAAATGTTTTTTAGGTGGGGGCACCTGGATGGCTAAGTCAGTTAAGCGCCCGACTTTGGCCCAGGGCATGATCTCAGTTTGTGAGGTCGAGCCCCGCATCGGGGCCTGCACTCACCATATGGAGCCTGCTTTCCATCCTGTCTCCCTCTCTCTGCCCCTCCCTAGCTTGCGTGTTCTCGCACGCTCGTTCTTTCTCAAAAATAAACAAAACACTGTTTTTCAGGAACATAAACATACATCCTTCTGGGCTCACTGGGAACGGTGCGAAATTGTCCTGTGTCTTCGTGGTGCAGCTGGTACTGACGTGTTCGTGGTCCCCCTCCACCCCTCTTCATCATGCTGACCTTGGAGCCATTAGTACAGACTCAGCAGTTTATCCTTTCATAAATAATGCACTCACTCCAAAACGGCAGGCTGCAGGCTTGTGGCCCAGACCTGCTGGGTATTTATAGTTCATGCCAGTAAATGTTTCGGTTGAATCGGTCAGGAGCTGTGGGCCTGATCTCTTTTCAAGTTGGTGGCTAGAGAAGTGAGTCAGCTCCCGCCCCCCCCCCCACCCCAACCTTGAGGACGGAATGAGCACTGCTGAACTCTGTGGCCCTGGCCAGCTGGCGAATCTGGAGGGGCTTGTAGGTTTGCTTGTGTTTGGCTGTTTGAGCCTCAGTACCAGTTCCTGGTTTGGTGAGCCATGTCTCTACACTGACACCAGATGAAGAGAGCACTTCCTGCCTATCTTGAAGTAAATCGGGGGTCAACCCAGACTTGTTTGGTGCTGGCCTTTGCTGTGGTTTTACGGGAGAGGCTCCAGAACTGCTGAAAAAGTGCTTTCTCCGACGGGAATGGGGGTTGCATTCTGCTAACAAGGCCTAAGCCTGCCGATGACAGTGCAAGCTTGTGCTTCTCTGTGCAAGAAGGTAGAAAAGAGTGAGGGTGGAATAGTAAATGAATTTTTATCCAGCAAGGATGACTATGGAAAAACCTGTTTCAAAACAGGTTCTTCCCATGTAAGGTCATCAGTTTTACGGTTCACTTTTCCCCTTTGTCCTTCCTCCCTGCCAGGTTCCCCTAGGACTTCTCCAGCTGTGCTCGTCAGCCTCCTTTTCTTGATCCTTCCTGCCTGGAGCTCTGGGATTAAAAAAAAAAAAAGGAAGGAAGAACAGAAAGAAAAAGACAAACCATACAGGACCCTGACTTTGATATTTACTGCTTATTAACCTTTTCCTTGTAAGAGTTGCTAGCTGCAATACCAAAAATAATTTCAAGACTAGAAAGTGTGAGGAAGCACTTTCATTTACTAGCCAGTGGCTTAAAGGAGTTATTTTGCAAGCAGACTAGTGAGCCTGCGGTGTTAAATGTCTGTTGACTCTCTGGCCGGGAGAAACATTGATTTCTCTCTTTCAGGTGCTGCTTTCTTCCCCGGGAGATGCGCCGAGATCTTGGCCAGGGGTCAAAGCATCGGGAAGCTCGGGGTCCTTCATCCTGATGTCATCACTAAATTTGAGCTGACCATGCCCTGCTCCTCCCTGGAAATCAACATCGAGCCCTTTTTGTGAAGATGGGTCTCTGCCTTGTGACTTGTCTCCCGGAGCATTCTGCTCCTTCCCTGGTGTCCTGGAGTCATCTCCCCCCGCCCCCCCCCCGGACCATTCGCTTGCGCTTTAATGTTTAATAAAGTAGAAAGTCGTGTCTGGCTCCGTGTGTAGAGGCCGCCGGCTCCCTGCATGAGGCCAGCTTGTGCGAACACGCTGTGACGCCGCATTACGAGGAGAAGCCCAGAGGACCGCGGGCCGGATGAAACCAGCGCTGATGCGGGAGAATGGAAGAATTTGTTCCTTCTCCATCTGACGTGCAGCCAGCAGTGGGAAACGATTAGGGAGCAGCGGCCGTCTGGCAGTTACAGCCTTCGAAGTCCTTTGAAAGTGAAAGAAGGCTCGAGTATTTGAAGGGCTTGAAGGTGCGTGGGTGTTTCTACTCTGATATCCTGAGACGGAGTTCACACAACACACGTCTGTTCTGCTAGACGAGTTAAAACAAACGTGTTGATAGCAGTGCGGTATGAACATTCGGAAACCATGAAAGAGTATTTTTGCCCCAGGCTATCTGTTCTGCTGTAATCAATACTATAAAATCATGGCTTTAAATACTTAGTTGAGCAACTAGGTTCTGTCTTATTTTGCAGGGAAGTATTAGGTCTCTCCTCTGACGCTAAGTGTGTCGGTCTGCCTTGTCTTGCCTCCTAATTTATTTCTTTGATCTAGACTCCTCCAATAGGTACTGAAAAAAGGTGGAATGTTTGAGATAAGTTCTCAATTCCTGTTAAGATGATGAAACAACAAAATGCAAAACTTTAAGTCCAGTAGAAATAACAAAGTTAGAAAGAATTAGGTTCTTGGAGCTTGTGCTGAGCCTACTACAGAGGAACCCAACCCTCTTCTCTGAATCAGGGCAGCGGTGTCCAGCCTAGTAAGATTTGTGAATATACAAACTTTCACCACTCCTTCCCCGTTCTGTTTGGGGCATTTAAATGAAGAGAAAGCTCACAAAAAAGAATGTACGTCAAAAGGTTTTGTGTCCAGCATGCATACCTAAAGATTTCTTACAAGTTAAGACAACCCAGTTTTTTTTAAATGGACAAAAGATTTGAACAGATATTTCCTGCAGATAAATGAAATCAGCATCGGGAAAAATTCTCATTAGTCATCAGGGAGATGCAAATAAAAACCACAGTACGAATTGAAATGGCTGAAATTTGAAAGACTGGCTCGTACCGAGCATTGGTGAGACCCGTGCCGTGGGACCTCCGTGTCCTGCTGGTGGAAACCGAGGGAACAGTGTTATTTATAGTAGCTTCAGCCCAAATGTTCATCAGCAGCTAAATAGCTAACTTATAGTACATCCGTATCATGGAGTAGTTCTCGGCAATAAAAGGGGATGAGCTACTGAAGAAGAACATGAATGAATCCCTAAGCATGCTTGGGAAAAAAAAAAACACCCAAGACTACACGTGATTGCACATAAATGAAATTCTAAAAGAGTCAGTGGTGCACTGGCAGGCTAGAGCTTGCACAGGGGAAAGGACTGCAAAGGGTAGAGGGCTAAGCTGTTGGGGACGATGGGACGGGTCTATCCTAACTGGCATGGTAGTTAGGATGTAGCTTATTACCTCAGCAAAGATGGGAGAAACACGTTAACGTAGTTCATAATCTTGCACCCCACATCTATGCCTAGGGTAGAAGCATGAACTGTGGAATTGGTGTGTCTGTTTAAAGTGGTTTACTGGTCCGCTCTTCAGGAGATACTGTCCCCCCAGGTTGTCTATAGTTAAAGTCCAGGTTCATGGGCCATGTGATAGCCATGGTTGAAGTGAGTGGATATCCTGAGATACCCTGTTAGCAGGCAGCCACCTGGATGTTTTTGGTCAGAAACTACTTGTAATGAAAAACCCACTGACATCTGATTGTATATCCCAGCATGAAAGGGGAAAGATCAACTCCATCCATCACGGGGATGTTTCTGCCCTCTGAAGCGGGGAAACTGTAGGAAGAAAACCGATATCAGCTACGTTAGGAGAAATGAACCACCAGTTTAGGAACTGAGGCTCCACGGCCAGATCATCTTACACTTGTCCCAGCTGAGGCATTTGAACTGGGGCCGGGCCAGTCGTGGGTACTACCAAAACCTATGTTGGAGAATACACGCCGTCTTAGTGAAAACTGGGAGCCCTAGTACGAAGAGGGAAGTTAGATATAATCGATTTCTTGTTCTAGCTTACAGAAGAGTGCTAGAGCCCGACACTCCTGTATTACTCTCGAGTTTTATATTTTCACCCGTGATCTTGTTGCAACGTTTACAGTTTTATGATAATCATAGGAGATGAAGTAGGCATTCTCCCTGCCTTATGGGAACATTCAACCTTCAGAGAGATGAATGATATGCCCAAAAGTCACATGCTTAACAAATGGGTTTGGGACAATGAGCGACTTGGATTCCCTAGATCACTTGGTGTTTTGTGTCACTTACCTACTTATCCAAAATGTTGGAGTTTTTGAGTTTTATAAAAAACACGGAAAAACAGGGGCGCCTGGGTGGCGCAGTCGGTTAAGCGTCCGACTTCAGCCAGGTCACGATCTCGCGGTCTGGGAGTTCGAGCCCCGCGTCGGGCTCTGGGCTGATGGCTCAGAGCCTGGAGCCTGTTTCCGATTCTGTGTCTCCCTCTCTCTCTGCCCCTCCCCCGTTCATGCTCTGTCTCTCTCTGTCCCAAAAATAAATAAACGTTGAAAAAAAAAATAAAAAAAAAATAAAAAAAAAACATGGAAAAACAAAGTTAAAAATCTCAACTATAGAAAATCGTACAAAGCTAGACCTTCCCAGGCTAATCTACCCTTTCTGCCCCCAGTCTCCTACTGAAGTAACTAACCACTGTTAATAATTTGGCTTGTGCTGTTCCTGACATTTTCCTTAGTTTGGACAGTCAGCCACACGCAGGCTCACAGTTTTGGGGCCAGACTCTACTCACTGATTCGCAACAACCTTCCATTTCTATTTTACATAGTATTTTACATATGACACCTCACTCACCATGTCTTATTTTTCTAGGTCAGGACCTGTAGACCCACGTCATTCTATTCCTCTGCTGACCTTTGTTTCCCAATCTGCAAGTACAGTGATCAGTGGACCTCCATATGCCAGCCCCCAAAACAGTATTAGCTTAGAGGCCATGAAAACCCAGGCCTAATGGCTGTACAAACATCCATATTTGGTATTTGATAGACGCATTCGGAGAGGCGAGGGGCTAATTAGATAGTTCTTACGTGTGCCTTTTACACCCAAACAGTATCTTATCCCAGTAGGTTACATTCCCAGGTGTAAAGAATGTTAAATTATTACCTTTTAAACAGGAGTAGCCCAACAAGGGCCCAGCTGGCACTCGCCCTCAGCAACAAGGGGCTCGTCACATTGGGAAAAGAGCACTGCTTACAATCCTGTGTCTCAGTCTTAGCTGCTATTTGTTTTTTTGTTTTTTTTTTTTTAATTTTTTTTTTCAACGTTTATTTATTTTTGGGACAGAGAGAGACAGAGCATGAACGGGGGAGGGGCAGAGAGAGAGGGAGACACAGAATCGGAAACAGGCTCCAGGCTCCGAGCCATCAGCCCAGAGCCTGACGCGGGGCTCGAACTCACGGACCGCGAGATCGTGACCTGGCTGAAGTCGGACGCTTAACCGACTGCGCCACCCAGGTGCCCCCTTAGCTGCTATTTGTGCTTGAAGCTTTCTGTAAATACCACTAATGCCAATGCTTGGGTATTGAGTTGGCTTTTTTGGTCCATTTTATCCAAAAGCAGACAGGTGGCCTTAAAGGGACACAACTGCCTTCACTAAAATATGCCCTTTAAACAGCAGAAGCATTTGACACGTCTGATATCTTCCAGGCCGTGGCTTATTATAAGGAGCTTGGATATATTATTTTTAAAAAGGTAGAGGCTGGCATACATAACAGAACTCAAGGCACCAGTACAGTCCTGGGACAATCTACGAGCAGCTCCCTGACCCAGCTCAGTGCGAGGAGATCCGCCTTCTTGGGTAAAGGTACAGGAACCAAACAGCCAATCCTTGAGAAGTCAGCTGGGCCACAAGCAAGGCCAAGCCGACCCAGAGCGATTTTAGTTTCTACTACTGCCTGCTTTCTTGTCCAGTCTCCCACCCTCCTCTGACTTCCTAGTAAACAGGATGACGACAGACATTGTAACTCAGCTGTGGGTTGAAGAAATACCTCCAGCAAAGGGTTTGATTGAGTTATGTCTATGGCTAAAGCTCGGTATGTTTCCTCTCCCTCATGGGACTGATGCAGTGTGGTAAGAATATGCTCAAGGCCTCCATTCAAGTCTTTGACTCATCCCTAAGGTTTGGCCTTGACTGTCTCTGTTTAAGGAGCATGACGTGATTCTGCATAGAAAACATTTTGAAAAGCCCCCCTCTCCCTGTTTTAGGAGGCACTTGTAAGAGATAACTGCTAGGTGTTCCAAGTTGCAGATCTTATCAGCCATACAAAGCAGATCTGACCTTTAAGAGAGAAAAGTGAGGATGTTGAGGAAACCTGGAAGCGATATAAAGTTCCTGCACTCCACAAGTCACAACTTTTTGTGCTGAGGAATGAAAATATTTCTCTAAAAGAAACACCTGCTTAGGGCCAGCAAGAAACCAGTTGTAAAGGATACAAACCTGGT